CAAGAGAAGTTGTAGCACCATCCTACAGCATCCACTGCTCTTGCCCGGCCCCCTCCCTGACAGTTCCAGGAAAACTGCCTGTGACTTGGGATTAACTCCAGGGGTCTAGGCGAGCACAGAACACCACCGCCCCTGCCATCCCCTCAGAAACAGGAAGCTCAGCCCCTTTCACAAATCCCATAATGTGTTCCAGGCCTACAGGGAGACACAGGGTGCAAAAACAGCTGTGTTCTCTGTTTAAGACCCATGAGATGAAAACCCAAACCTAGAAATTGACATGCCTGCAACTAAGAAAAGGAAACATGCCCTGGGTCCCCCTCTCAGCCTCACAGCCAAGAGGGAAAGGAGATTGAGAGTGCTGGTAGGTTGGGTCCTCAGGGGTAGCCAATCAATGCTGCCCTGCACAGTTGGCTGGGCAAGCTCTAGAAGCAAGGGGAGCTGGGATGCATGCACAGAGGCCCTGGGTGTATGCTGTTGGCAGCACAAGCCACCTGAGCACAAACCACTGCTCAGCCCCTCTAACATTTGTAAAGTGCTCTCCTCATTTGAATACCTGTACATGGCCATAGTAACATCTACCATTAAACAGTTAAAGACAAAAGCTTTAGTCTTATGGCTAAATCAAAAGGGAAACAACCAAAATAAACAAAAAAAACTTCACAGAATAATATATGAGCATATGTTAATAGAAGCTGGTCCACAGTTCAAAGGTTACTTTTTAATAATGCTTATAGTAGTAAAACTTTTGTTTGCTTATCATCTGGAATATCAATACTTTTAATTAAAATAGCAGATTTTTAATTCCCACTGCCTATGTGGCAATCTATTTCAGGTGTTTCATTCACATCCCTGTTAATACTGGTATATAATAAGGAAATGTTATTTCCTAAATGGAAACTGAACTGCTGCACCATCATTTCAATCTGTCACTGAAGGAACATGAATAAAGTATCACCAAATAAAAGCCAGCAGATTAATATGGCAAATGTTGGACAAAAAAAAAAAAAAAAGCACTGAGTTCTTTAAAAAAAGTCAAATCAGTTTTCAATACTACGGGTGCATTGATAAAGATTTTTTTGGCTGATACCAATGGCTAATTATTGACCAGCCATATCAGCCGATACTGATCTGATTGCTGATATGCAGCCCAGCAACTTGGAGAGCAGCGTCTGGCTGGTAAGTCTGTTGGGGGGAAGGGGCGTGAGGGAGGGAGTGGGGCTGGAGCTGAGGCAGGGGCAGGTCACTCATCCAGTAGGCATGGGGGAGAGGCTCCTGCCACTGCACATACTCCTGAAGGACGCATGTAGGACATGTGTTCCACCCCCCCCCGCACAAATTTGTGCACGAGGTAAGGGCAAACTGCCTGCTGCATGTTCAGGGCCAGGGCTTGCCACAGCCTCTTCCCAGCGGCTGGGCTTCAAAAAATAGTTCCTGTCCTGATTTTATTTGAGTAGTATATATAGAGGCAATTGCATAGCAGCCCAAACTAGTCCTAATCCCGTGTGAGTGTGAGAGAGAGAGAGAGACGCATGCAAATCGGGTGGTGTGTGGTAGGTAAGGAAGGTGCAGTGGGAGGGGGAAGAAGAGGAAGAGAGAGAAAGACTGCCTCATGCCAGGTCCTAGGAGCCAGCCAAGCATCGGAGAGGGAGGAAGGAGGTGTGCAACAGAGCTCGCTCAGGTGGGGTGGTATGGTGCAGGTGTAGTCACCCTCCATTTGGCCTGGCTGCCCCCATAGTGTTCTACATGGGGCCAAGCCCCACCTACTTCCACCCTGGGCAGCCTGCACTGTGCTCCCACCCACCTGAGCCTAAGCCACAGCACACAGAGACCCAGCGGGGCTGCTTCCAGTGCAGCCGTAGCTGCCTGGCTCTCCATACCACCAGTGACTACTCCTCCTCCTGCCCCTGTTGTGCCACTCTGGGCAGCAGGTAGAGTGCAGAAGCTGTGGGGACACATGCCAGGTACCACACACCCAGCCTGGCAGGGGGAAAGCTGCAGCCAAGCCACTCCTGCCCCAGTGTGTGGAGCTCCAGCTCCCAGCCACTTTCTACCCACACTCCACCTGGCAGGCACGATAAGCAGCCACTTGCAGGCAGCTGAGGTATTGGAAGGCAGCCAGGAGCTCAAGCCCCATGCGCCAAGGCAGAAGCCACCTGGCTGCAGCTTCCTCCCTGTCTGGTTGGGCATCTGGCATGCATCCCCACTACTGCCGCTGCTTCTCTGCACTACGTGCTGGAATGGCACAGCAGAGGCAGAAGGAGGAGCCGCCACAGGAAGCAGGGGGAGTTGAACAGTACCGGTGCAGCTGCAGCCACACAGAGCAGCCCCACTCGGGATCTGTGTGCGCTGGCTGATGCTGAGGTGGGTAGGATCACAGGCTGCCTTGGTCAGTAGCAGGGGGGTGCTTAGCCACACATGGAATGCTGCAGGCCAAATATAATCAAACAGCGGCTGCCCGCCTGCAGGCCAGATCCAGCCCACAAGCTGTATTTTGCCCACCATTCCTATACGTGCATCTGGGGAGTAAAACACCAGGAAAATGTATACAACAATGCTAGTACAAGAACTAGCAGTTACCACACAGGCTTGGTACAATGTACTGGTTAAGGGTCTTTTGATGTCTTCATAATAGGCAAGAGGTCTGATACACTTGTTTCCATAAAGGCAACACAAAGAAAGGCTTTTTTACCTTAGCTATTGGACGTTAAATTTAAAAAAAAAAAATGTTAAACACACACACACACAGACACACACACACACACACACAGACACACAGACACACACAGTAATAAGTATGCTGCAACATCTCCAAATACATACACACACACAAATATAGACCATGTCCTGTGAGTTCACAATGTGAGCTCACTTTTCTTTCTATCTAGCAAACCTGCAAATTTTTTTTCTTCCTTCTTTGTTCCACATGAAGATAACTACCGGAACTGAAAGTAATTAAGCAGTTAAAGTCACTTTATTGTTAACTTTAATAAACACTGGCATGTGGAAGCTAAATAAAATTTGCGTAGCACATTTCCAATTTACTTACCTTGATAAACAGTTTATTTTTTCACGTGTGAACTTACCCTGCTCATAGAATCAAAACATTTCCTGACCAGTGATTCCACATCATTAGGCCTATCCTGAACATTTATCCAGTCTAACAGAGAGACATTGAAGGAAGGTTGATCATTCTCCTTCAGTTCCAATGAAGTTTCATTGTCCTGAATAGTACTGTTTTGACTGGATTCTTTATTGTCTGTGATATTTTCAGGAGCTGCGCTGTCCAGGGCTGAATGCTCCACTGACCTGCAAAATGAGGCTACCACTGATTTAATGTTCGTTCTAGGAATATCAGAAAAAAGAACTAGTTCCGCAGACTTTCCATCCTCAGTTCCTTCACTGTCTTCCCCTCTGTGGTCAGTAGAAGATTCCAGTCTTCCTAAACATTCTCTGTAACTATGTCTGGTTAGGCACTCCAGCAGCGGGATCTTGGCCATGACAGAAACAGCCGTCCCCAAGCTTAAAAATAAAAACCCAGAAAAGTCACTGGCATCAAAAAAGCAAAATGATATATAAGATATAAAGTTAAGGACAAGATAATAATGATGAATGTAGTACTGCTAGTTAATATTAAATCTTATAGCTTTAGATTTTTAATAAATGATGCCAGGATGATTAACAAATTTTTTTCTTCTTATTTGACTGGCTGGACTCTCCATTCTCTATAGATTTTCTTCATCTAAATCTTCCCATTTCAATTGAGAGATGTTTAAAATTACATCACTAAAACATTGTGCAGCATCTTCAATTACTACAAACATGCCCAGCTTGGAATATTTAACCTACAGCATTTATGACAAAACATTTAATATAACATGAATTACAACAAAACAAAAAAGGGTTTGAGAAATCAGAATGTCTATTGGATTGGTCAGAACAACTGTAGAGGTAAAAAAGGTGTAAAGGATAAGCAACTATGACTGTAATGAAGAGCTTAAAGTCAAACCTACTGTGTGAGTTTCAGCTTAATATCATCTATAGATTGCAGGTAGCTTGAGTATACATTTTCAAACTTGAAAAGCAGCTTTTGGTAAGAATGTGTGCAGTCTTCCAAATTGGCCATTATGGCAGCCCAGCCTTGATGCTGAAGATGTTCATCATGGACAAGACCTTCACAAAAGGAGCAAAGCTTCTTGGCAACCTCATACATTTCCTGTTAAAAGTAAATTTATAGAATGAAATAATTTTTCCAAACGTTCAAGCTGTACTTAAAAACACTTCATACTTCTGAATAGGAACTTAGTTTATTCAGACTACTGCATATCTTTATTCTAAAAAAAACCACAAGACAACAAACCTACAAGGTAAGTTATTATTCAATACACCAGACTATTACAAGACGCCAGATCAGATAAAGCAGTATACATATTATTTTGTATGCACACATGTACATCCATACTATGTGCTTCTTTGGAGGAAAGAATTTGCAGAAGAGGTACACTAAAGGAGGAACAGCAATGATGAAGGTCTTTAGTACAGAATAATGGGGAGGGTGAGGTCTAACTGTTGTCCAACTTATGCATCTTGGACAACAGCACAATGACACTGTGGGAGAAGTGAAGGTGGGAGGAAACAGAATAAACTGAAATTTTTACACTGATTAACAAACCAGATACACTGCTACTTATTTTACAAAGTGTCCAAAGGAGTCCAAGAACACATTCTCCATCCTGGTATGTGCAAATGCATGTGGAAAATTGTGTTAACTATAATCTAACCTTACATATAGTTAACTATTATCAACAAATAAGAATATTTTTTTTAATCCACCAAGCTCAGTGGAGTTGAATCCGAGGATGAAAAATCAAAAAGCACCACCACCCTTTTGAAATTAGGCTCTTACAATTAGTTTTTGTTTTGCTTCGAGTTTAACACAGATGCTATTTTCCCCTATATGAATGGATTTAAATATTAGTTTTAAAGTTAGTAAATAAAAGATACTGCTAGTGTAGACTTGAACAGGTGCCTACTTCCAGGTCCTATTTAAGGAGAGCCAAGAGCATACAATAATTTAAATAGAACTCAAGCTAATTCATTCAGCAGGTGCCCCAATTCTTACGTACCTTTGAAGTAGGGTATTCTGTTAAGAAGTGTCCTCCTGATTATGCCTATGTGTTTGGTTTTAATATCAACCTCTCTACCTAAGAAAAAGAAAGGAAAGAAAACAGTGACACTTATTTTAGGTTCCACACCTGGCTAAGAGGTGGCTGCACACCCTCTGTCATCACAGTACTACTGGTACAGTAGTGTGTGTGTGGAAGCTAGAATAAGATTGCTTTTTTTTAAAAAAAAAGTTATTCAAATATAGTGAAAACAAGTTTAAAAGCCAAACACATAGGCATGCTACAGAGTACATTTGCTGCTAAATGTAATCCTAAAGCACAAAAAAAATGGGAGCTAAACACCAGTAGTTCATCTTTCTGAAATAAACCGCAAACTATGTTATTTAAAAGGCATTTGAACTGATTTATTAAACCCCAAATATGCGATTTCAAGATTATTACGATCAGGTAAATTTCCAAATCATGCCCCAAATATCTATGGCATGATAATAATTACTCCATGAGGCCTAAACCGCTGTCCAAAATGTTGTTTTCCAGACTACTAGCAAAATGAATATACTGATCCAGCAGGATGGATGTACGTTTCGACAGGTACCTAGCCAAACAGACATCTGAAAAACCTGAAGAATTCACTGGGTCTGAGCCAACAAGAGGCCGAGACAATACAGTCCATCAAACACAAACCAGCACTATACCAGACAAAGTACTGCCAGTCCCACAAGTTCAAAACCCATGAGTCAGATGTATATCCCTCTCCCCCTGACCTCCTCTTCATGTCATGAATGGCTCCAGGATTGTGTGCGGTTTTTTTTTTTTTTTTTAAACAAAAATATTTAATGGCACTTTTGGTTTGTTTTTTGATTTTCACACTCTCTGTGCATAGCCTTTATGTACAAATAAGAAAGAAACAGTGCCGTCCACCCTCCAAATCAACTGAAAATGGGGATTTCAGCCCCTGTTACACAGCTCTTACCTCCACAACTACCTGCCTTCTGACCTGCAAGTCAGGATCTGCTAAGCTTCTTCCTGCATCAACTCTCCCCTATATCTAGCACCCCCCTCCCCCACAAAAGTTGCAGGCTGCAGTAAGACGCCCTTCTTCACTTTTTCTGGTGCATCACATACTGCAATGGAGAGAAAGAAGATAAGAGAAACAGAGGGGAGCAAAAGGAAGAAAGCATATATTCTCCTGCTACTCCCAGTTCCTTCCTCTCCCCTCTTATCAGAAAGATAGAGGTGATGCAGGAGATCTTCCTGGGCTGGCCCAATTATCAATGTTGTATATCAGAAGTGGGCAAAGTGAGGCAGAGTCAGGGCTGTGCTTCTCCACAAAGAACCAGGAATTTGCTAGAGAATGTCATGATAAGACAGACTCTAGACACAGAAAGAGATCTGGCTACTTAAAAAAGGCTCGGTAGTCAGCAAAGCTGTAGCATCTAACATTTTAATGTCTGCTTATAAATGTATATCTTTATGTAGTAAACTCAGAGTCGAGTTCTATAATCTGGGATGAGATTGCTGCTACACAACTGTCCAACCGTCAAACTTAGGAAGTTTTTCCTATGATCAACATTTGAAAGAATAAAACCGGACAAAAAAAGTATAAGGGAATGTGCTCCACTGTGCCCACATTACAGCACGCACATATGAAGAAAATAATTTACCAACTCTGTTCCTTTACCACCCCAAAACCACTGACACAAGATTTAATTAAGAGAGTGAATCCATGTACAAGAAGCTCAATTTTACAAGCATAAAGAGATCTAAGAACAAAATCACCTACACAAAATAACAAAAAAAAGACAAATATAAGCAGGCTTTCAGAGATGCTCCTTCACCTGAATCTGGAACACAAGAGGTAGACATTGCCCACCAGACTGGCTGGTAACATGGTTAATTTTTCAAGCTCAGTTTTCCTTGGTCATCTGAGGGCCATCAGAGCTATACAGAACTCCTCTGTACTAAGAAATGAAAAATATTAGATTCACCTCTGTCTAGTTCAGGGATAAGCAAAGGCTAGTGGAGCCAATAGATCCAGCCTGCAGAGATGGAAGACTTTGCCTGTGCCCATACTGGGGCCAGATAGCAAGGAGCTGTGCCACAGCTGGGCAAATGGAAGCTGTGCCACACTGCTGCCCCTTCCCCCAGGTCCCCACTCCCTGGCCCTGGAGCAGGCACAGCTTTTAGTTAGTGCAGAGCCACATGGCAGCTACGAGGCAGTGGGAGGGAGCAGGGAGAACGAACAACAGCAAGGATGCAGCTTCTTAGCTGCACAGCCCTAGTGCAGCTCCCCACAGGCTGGAAGTTGTACGAGTGCTACAGCCAGGAAGTGGGGGCTGGGAAAAGTGGCAGCAACACAGGCACAAATCCCAAGCCCCAGCACAGGCAAAGTCCCTCCCTGCTGACATGCCAAAGCCACTGAGTCTGCGTAGAACCAAAGCCAAGTTGTTCTGACCTGCAGCTTGTTCAAGGCTTCCAGCTGCTGGTCTAGTCAGCTCTTTTTCTACGAAGATAGATTTGCACTGACTATTTCAGCACTTATGAATCAAAATAGGTTGCATTCATTGGGGCTGTAACCTCTAGATGTTCTTACCTCGTCTAGATCTTGGCATTTTGTTTTTCAAATAGCTTTACATCCAGAGACCATGCACAAAAGCTGTACAGTCCTTTTCCTTTCACCTTCCTTCCTAACAGATTCCATAAATGGAAAAAAATTGACACAAACTCCCAAACCATCCCATCCCCCATCCCTCCTGTACCTATTAAAAACTATATTGATACTTGAGAACAAGTCAGAGAAATCTAGGAACAAGCACAAAAACAGGCATCGCTTACACACACATTAAGCACAGAAGAGCTCGATTCTTCTATAGGTGCTGAAATAACTGGTTCCTAAACTGGCCAGCTGATTGGCAAGAGAAAAGCAAGATACAGAATCCTAGAAGGGGTCACTACTTTTTGAAGTAAGGATCATGAGTGGGTGGATACTCTTCCCCTGTCACCTCTTTTCTCTGAAGCACTTCCTACAAGTTAAAGAAAGCCCTGCTACAACTTAGCTATCCACTGGTCTGGAAGCATGATTATCCTCTGTGAAAGTAATATCTGGTATTTACACAGTCAGAAAAGTCTCCCCTATGAGTAAAACCCTCCAGCTGCTGGAGACAGACTACTGAAGTCAGAGTAAGAAAAACTTAAAAGAATAGGAAAGATGAGGAATACCGACTATATGATTATTAGAGAAAACTCTATTCAACCAAAAAGACTGACTAATATAAACATGATTCCTGCTTGATTTTATTAAAACGAAACTTTCTTGTTAGGCTGCTAAAGAGAAAAAAGGTTGGAAAAGTCTGAGCTTCTGAATAAGATGAACGCCTTTTATATATTTTTTCTAATATCAATATGGATTTGCCTTCAGTTTTGCAGACCAGGAAGAATCTAGGAAAAAAGTAAGAAAATATGCACCACTTATATTAAGGGCAAAAGATCTTTATTCTTCCAATATTGTTCTAGAAGCCAGGAGGAAGGACATGTAGCTAAAATGAACCCAGCTAGTTTCAGGTCCCTTCCTTTCTCCAAGTGCTCAGATGATTTAAAGTCTGCAGTTTCCTCCCTCCCTTTCCTTCTTTTTCTTTTGGTGATCCTAATGAAAAAATCATATAGTATCTATCAGAAGTCTTCCTACAGTGCTCATCACTCCCAAGGAAAATAGCAGCATTTTAGTTTACTTTCTACTTGGTAATTAAATAGTCTACTGCACTGGATTCCAAGTTTTGCTTGCCTAAGCACAAACATATTGAGCTGGTAATGCAATTAGTGCATCATACTCTGTTCTTTCCATCAACCTCAATTTTGTTTTAACTTTAATTTCTTGTAGCTACAAGGAATGTTATAGGTACACAGAGGCAACATATTACCCACTGGCCTAGTGGCTTCATGCTATTTTAGAAATAAGGAAGCACAATAAGTTATTCAAAATCAAAACTCAAAATAAGCATCTCAACACTTGGCTCCAGGATCCCATCAGATCTCCAGAACTTAGGAAGTCACATCTCTATGCTCCCTTTCAGCCATCACACAGGATATTCTT